TGAATTGTCTAGTCAAATGGGCCATCAAAACTATCAGAAGTAATGGCTTCGTTGGTGGCTATCATATGTTATCCAAATGTACATCAAATTACGTGAATCCTGTTATGCTGAATCTAGAGCATAACTATATTCATACGTCAAAATTAAAATATATCTAGATGGACCAAATCCAAACGAAAGGCTTATCCTTTTGAGAAAAGAAAATGCGTGATACAGCGAAGATCCAAGAACTTGCAACCTTGTTGGAGCAAGAGGGTAATCAAGGATGACCAGATACAGAAAAGAAAATTTATCTTTAATGCCACAAGAATGCATGTCATGAGGAGCGGCTCTCAAACAAATATTCACCTCAATCTCGGAGACTATAGTCCAGCGTACAGTAAGGCTAAGACAGAAATTCCGCAGTTTACATTATTCATCGATGGGTTTTATTAAAAACCACGACATTCGAGTTTCTTCTAGTAGTTACGGCTCTGCTGATAAACTTAACTAGTTTTAAACTCATTTAAATACATTCTCATCATAAACATTTTTCCCAAAGAGATTCACAAAAATGTTAAGAACGCATATTGGCATCTAGGCATCTAGGCAAAGCAGTGGCCAGGATTTAGGAACTAAATGCTTGAAGATCTTTTCCGCTGTGAAGAGCAACCATAGTATAAACCTTGCATTGTCAATATCCTCACCGTTGTGTTTGTTAAAAAACCAACTGGCGCGTAATCTGCAAAGGTGAATTTAACTCAAGCGAATATCATAATTTTAATGATAGAAGCTTCAATCTGATCGTGAATCTTAATCAACATACCGGACCAGAAGGTTCTGAGGCAGCTTCTTGTGTGTGTAGAATAAAGACATTCAAAATCACAGACCTGCATAGCAGCTAGTAATACTTATTCACTCCGAATAATCTCAAAGCCTTGGGTCTGAGGGACTGCAATGGTTCAGAACTTCCTAGACCTCCAGATCGTGGTATAACGTCCACACCAGTCACTGAGACTTCAATATCATCTTCACCAACGTGTTGATTTGTGGACGATGATATGCTGAATTCATCCGGCGAGTAGGAACGCTGATATATTTTTGTGAAAAGTGTTGCATGAGAGGGAGCTCTAACCGCATCCTGTCTTGGGCTTCAGGTCTTAACGAAAGTCATGTTCGACGGCCTTGGCTTTCCTGGCGAGTGACTTGCATCTTCAGCCTTGCCAGACCAGATATAGAATTCTCCATCACTTCTGAGGTAAAATTTGAACCGGTCTCTTTTCTTGAGCTTCTTCTCCATGACAATATTTTTCTATCCAGCTCCGAGCACTAAACTTGTGTTAAAAGTTTCGTACCTAGAGTGGAAAGGAATTTTCTGAAAGATCATGGATGCAGAGGAGCAGTCGATATCTTAGCTTGCACAAATCGGGAAAGAATTTTCTCGCAGGTTCAATATCTTGAATACAATTTTACACGTTGACCTACGTCAATGGACGAGAGATATTTATGGAAAAATGGTGCTCTCCTTATTCCCTTTGGCTCAGGCCCGTAATACTTCATGTTCATACATGAGAGTGTCAGTAGAGAAAAATGTGGAACAAAACCCTGTGGCTCGCACTATAATGTCCGCGTGCTTGTGAACATACAAAAATCTTCTAATCCCAGCATAATTACCGACCAACGAAGGTTATGATTTCGACCATTGTTTTATCTAACTGTCGGTGTCAGCTGGAATAGCTAGCACACAAATTCTGATGACTTGAGGATAGATAGAGATGAGAGTAGAAGACCACAGCAATTCAAATAATGGAATTCAGATTTTCACATGGACGCCATAAATGAATATTCTAAGAGAACGATTGCAGCTGAAGTAGCCACAGTGGATGAGTATTTACCACCACCACTCGACTGTCACCATTTATAGACCTTTTAGATTTGAAGCAAAAAAACTTCTTGATTTGATATCTGTATTACGTTTTGTGAGAGACCGACAGTGGCTCTAAGCTTCATCAGGAGTTCCTTCAAACTCTTGATCTCATCATATCGATTCAACATTAGCCATGTGCAAATTTACAAAATGGACGCTGATTTCATCTTGTCAGGAACTCAACAACTCGTCGTGGTGAACACGTTTTTACCATCTGTCCACTTGCTTATCTACCCATACACCTAATAACATCACGACTTGGATTGTGAATGTTCTTGTACCAAATACTTGTGACATGAAAATGACGAAACTGAATTGTTGCGACTAAGCTTGCTAACAGAGTTCTAAGTTCTGCCCGTGATCTTCACTAGATCCGAGCAATAGACAGTTGGAAGACATAATGATTTGGACCGGAGTCTTCCGGTTTGACTAGTGTCCGTGGCAACCTTCAAATTCGGTGTAAATCATCAAATAGATATTGAACTGTCATTGTCATACAGAAAGAAAGGACAAGAAAATGAAAATCTATACAACAACGACACCTCCACTTGTGAATAAGAGAACGCAACATGCTCCATTAACATCAGGAATAGGTAAATCAAAGAGATGATTGATTCGCCTTCAGAACTGTCCAAAACTCTCATTAGCCTTTTATTCGTAGTTTGCAAAGCTCCTGGAGTCCCCGACTGCTAAACAATAACATTTGCACATGCTGTTCTATGTCTCGGCGTTTGTGGAGAAAATATGTGCATCAAACTGGTTCTTCTCTTTCCGGTGTCACCACGTCCAAGATGTGGATCACGTCGATGATCCTGTTTAAGGTCAGATAGGTAGCTTGCCTAGAACTATGATAGACGTATCTGCTTTGAAACAAGATTCATTTGAAACAGCTTTTAATGTGGAAACCTCGTGACCTTTCCGGTTATAGTTTTGAGCTGTGACTATTGAAGAAGTTTTAGGATGTTGATGTAGAGCAGTGCTGATTCATAATTTTCTGAAAATGCTGAAAATCTCGATGCTTTGGAAAAGCAACTAACCGAATTTCCTATATTGCGGTTCCATTTGCATAATAGAAGTACATTGAGGAATGCAGAATCATCGTACTTCAACAGAAAGGTCACAAAATAGATCGCAGAATTAGGTACAGATGGCATCCAGGTGCACATGGTTCGAAACATATCTAATGGACTACAAACCAAAGTAAACTTGGTGTTTAGTCCTTTCCGCATCTCGCAGGAACCAGTTCTTGGTTAAAATAGAGACTTTTAGAATGACAGAAATGAGTTGCTCGAAGCATGAACAACGACTTTGCATCGGCTTATCAAAAAAAGAAAACACATCCTGCTTAGAAAGACAAGGCAATATCATCACTAGCTGTAATATTGCACCTTGAACCAGGAAAAAAGCATAATTAAATTAATCATATGGCTTGCAGTCCACTAGAACAATCTGCGATTTCGAATTTTCTTAAACCATTCAAACAAGATGACTAGGACCCCATTAACATGTGGTACTTCGTGGCTCATTTTGCCGAAAATCCTCGTTCTGTGTTTCCTAAAGCTCCTGCCAGTTGACGATTTGGCATCTCTACGTCACTTGATTTTACCAGAACTCTGAGGAGAAAGTAGGACTCAGGTAGATATTCGGGTCTCCTCCTACAAAGGCAGTTTCATTTCATTTCATGATAGAGACAGGAAACGTAAGTTTCCTGGTTGTTCTTTGGGTTCTGGATCGGGTTCCACACTCTAGCCTTCGATTGCTTTTGTTACACTATTGCATCACATCGCAACTATCGCTCAGAATTTGGGGTAGATGTAGGCTGTCTAAGGAGATTGTAAACTGTGAGGTTTGATTTTAATTTCCTGCAGTAACTGTCGCCCCATATGATTGTTCTATGCTCTAGGATTGAGTGGAGTTGACTTACTCAAGAAGCACAGCCGTGCTTTATTGTAAAAGTTCACTCTCACTTTGTTTCACGAGATTTCCGTGACCGAACAGTTTCAACGATCACCTCTTTCTTTTGATATTGTTTTGTTTTCACCGAAACCTGTCAAATCGAACTCAGGAGCTAACAATTTTCTTCTGACTTCCAAGAAATATAGGTCAGAGTACTGACAACTGCGATGGAGGAGAGGAATTTTATTCAGCGAAATTAAGGTTTCGTTTTCTCTAGACAGGATTAATGCAGAAAGACCTCGTTATCTCGGGAATATGATTTTGTTACATACATTTAGAGAGCCCTGTGATCGGCAACGTACGGTTCGTAGAGCTCTATGCCATTTATGTTCTCCATCCCGCAAGTTCCATGCGAACTCCGGCTCACATAGTGCTGGAGTGCTCACGAGTCCATGCTATTTTTCGAAGCATACCAAACAAGTGTGTAGCCGCATATCATGAGCATAAACGAGGTCACATAGCGAAGATCCATCGCACTCAGTACTTGTCAGTGTTCAGTTTTCAGGAGTGTTGTGCACGAGCTGCGACGTACAATTGATTATCAATTTCTTACATCGATAACGATTCCGTTCTATGGAAGCCTGTTGACAATGTGTGACACGTGCAACACTTTCCTACGTCGCATTGTACACCTACTCTAGATTACGAGAGCCGATCGTGCCAGTCTTGCTTCAGTAAAACACAGGATATTTGAGTTCGAGTTTGAGTCCAAGAAGCCGACAGATCATGTAGCTTACGAACGATTCTATCATTCACGAGCAAAGACCAGAACCCTGTATATATAAGACGGTACGAGAAACTAAAGAGGTCTCGTGGATTTAGATCATTAAACCATAATCAGCAGCTTGTAAGGGACACATCATGACCAGGAAAATCAGAATCCCTTACGCTCGTTATCCAGCGTACATAAACGGGATAGGTTGTCGACAAACCTCGATACCCAATCTCACTCGTTAATAGAAACATTCAGAATGTTTGGGAATCATTTTGCATGATTCTATGAAGCGAGTCATTTGATTGTGGCTATGTTTGTATAGATCAGTGTCTACATCGGTTCAGATTTGAATAAAACTTCAAAGCCTGATATGTTTTCGACACTTTGCACATTGCAAGAGAACATCATCATGTCTTGCATAACCTTTGACAACTTTATTAGAAATGGTTAAGGTTTAAAAAACCATTCGACCAAATAAATTGACGGTAAACCAGCACTCTTAGTGCAAGATATAATATTGAAATGATAGAGACTCATCATTTTCGAGATTGTCGCAAAGGATATACTAGCCTGGGTCCTATTTGACAGAACATTACTTTTGGTCCGCATGCCACAGCCTTTTGGCAGAGTACGTAAAGGGATGGCAATCTCAGGTTCCACTTCCGTGTCCTGAAGCTTATTATTGGGTGGAAGGCTGAATAGCTGTTGTGGTTTATCACCACTGATACAATGGCCACTAATGATCAATGAGGTGTTAAGACAACGAACGGATAATTTCTCATCTGGACGGCCCAAAGACGCCCTAATACATCTGTTAATCACTTTTGTCCCCCATTCGCGATTTCTAGTCATGTAGGCAACAAATAAATATGGACAAATTTTCGGAATGCATGAGATCCAGTTTTGGCTTTTGATTCCTCTGGTTCTCAGCTGATGAGTTCAGACAACATATAAATGTCTGATATTTATAATTTGAAATTTAGATGCAGGAAGTGTATCGGGCATATATGTACATATGTACATCTCCAAGGCTGCTTAGCCTGAACATGCAAACGAGGCACCTGCGCAGCTACTCATGCTCGATGTGCATGGATTCAATACCTTTTTTCCCGTCAAGGCCTCGAGCTGTGAATTTGGCCATGTATTCCTTAAAAGTGCAAGCGGAGTAAAGCGGAGGATGACTCTCATCCAACAGCTCTTGAAGTGGGGCAACTACACGGTCGTCATCGGCGCTGTAGAATGCGGCTAATGTCAGCCGTTCTTGATCAGGGTCCTTCGAAGGCATCCCTCGGTGATCTACACTTGCAAACTTGCCATTGGTGAGAATCTGCATAGACCACGTAGACGACAACTTGGTCACAGATTGATAGCAAACATAAGTAGGCAGGAGTCAAAGGAGGAGTCAAGAACCGAAACACAACGCAGACACGGCAAGAGCATTCTAAAGCATAATAACTTAAAACGGGAAGCGAAGGCAGAAAATAAACTTCATCTCTTGATCTCTGCTTCAAAGGCGGAGCATCTAACATAGAAATCACGTATTTCACAGTACACGGATCTAGGCCCTTTATTTTTCTCGAGAATCAGTTTCGAATTCCTGTACGTCTTGATGAGGACGAGAGCTGAAACAATAACCAGCTTCGAAACGGTATTTGTTGTTCGCAATGTTAGCACCTGCCAAGCGTCAGAAGAGAACCATGCGAACGAAGAAATCTCATGGATTTTACGGGATAAGTTGGGCCCGTAGCTAGAATGTAAAGAATAAAGTATGGAGAGCCGGAGGTCGGTCCTCTCATGCTCTTCACCAGGGTATCGGAGGGGAGGTTCAATGATTCTGAAATCAGAGCCAACACGCTCTCCGCGAGTACTTGAATCTGCTCGAAGTATTCGATCCACGTGCTTCTGCGTCACAAGTCGGTGTTCTGATTATTAGCAAAGCTTAGAGTTGTTGGCAGGACAGGATGCTTCTCCAGAACGACGGTGCATTATCTGCCTGGGATCAGACTGTCTAGTACATCTCCCGGTCTGGTCTCTCTTTCAGTCTGAAGCTTTCACACAAAAACAGAAGGACAAGGAGAGGAACCACTACCCGAAAGTGGGTGGATTGAGGGGCAGTAGATGCTCCTTCAGAGGTTTGAAAATGTTGTGATAATACTCCGTTGATCCTGCAGACAGTTTGGTCGCCGTAGCTGCCAGACTCGAGTGACTCCATCCTTGAATGGTATCTGGCATCACTCTGATCTTCACCTTTTCTTCTGCCGGCAAATAGAAGAACTCTTTCGACACATCTTTCACTCGCTTCATCAAGTCCTGATCGAACCCATGGTTACAAAGCTGAAAGAAACCCCACATTTCACATGCCGCCGCGATCTCTCCACGAATCTTCTCACGGTTCGGTCCATTAAAGCCTTCGAAATCGATGATAGGAACTCTCTCCTGCAGCTGCGGTTTGCCTTCTGAACCCATTTCTGATTATGAAGATGCTACGTGCCGGTACTATGATCACGCCGGGGTTTCTTATAGGCTTCACTCCGCACAAGATTCGCGAATATTTCGCACATGAACGAACACTTTAATAAAATATAATAAAGTTTGGATTGTCAGAACTTTTACATTGAGCCGTTGCTGTTCATCATCGCTTCGCGAACGCGAAAGAATTTCTCAGAAAGTATTTATTTTTTTTCCAAAAGTAAAGTATTAGTTTGCGTTTTTTTTAGGCCTTTTAAAAAAAAACAAACTTGAGAATCTCAACTTTGCTTTTCCTTAAAAGGTCTAAAAAAACGCAAACTAATACTGTACTCTGAGAAAGGAAATTGCTGCGTCAGACACCACGTTTTTAATGTAGGGTTAGGAAATAATATTTTCAAGGACGTCGCAATATTGGCACATTTAATTTCTGCCCAAACTAAGCAAATCGAGTTCTACCAAGGCTGGAACCTACCTACGCTCCGCTTTGGATTGCTGGACTCACGTCTTTTTATGCAGCGTGGCGTACTTGACCAAATCCGAGAACGTGGGCTGCTCGTCGAGGCGAAATCATCACGTCCAAGAGACTGTACACAATTTATTATCTACATCTATGTCATGCAACAGTAGAGGCCGATTAGTGAGACCGACAAGTTCAGCATATTTCTTCGACGACATTCGAACTCACCACCTGCGGCTGCTTAATACGGCTAGAATATGCATCGCAGACATCTCATATCGAATTGAAGTAATACATTAGATTGATTTGACACAGATGGATCAAAGAGCGAATAAAATGAAAATAAACTGCCACACCGATTTCATATCACTGTACCGTAGCAGGAACTTAGCAACTTGGTAATTGGCGACCACTTCTGTAGCCCACGAGTAACTTAATAGTTATCATTCTAATCATCTCCTTATCCTGTATGGCAAAATACTGTAACTTCTATGGTGTTGCTATGTTGTCCGTCTGACAAAAGTGGTGGTACTTTCTGTTACAATACTGCAGGCTAGAGGACGAACAACTTAGCGATGAATTTCGTAGTGTTTTAAATTATTCTAAAAACAGTGTATCAACAAATAAGTTTGAATAAAAAAAATTTATATGAAGAATCAATTCGGGTCAACTGCAAACAGTTACAGGTTATTGTCTACTCTGTGATATGAGGTTAAATAGTTACTCTTGAAAGAATCTTCATGGCATGAGAGATAAGCAAGAGACGACCTGGGCGAAATGATTGATAGCAGAAAATTATCCCGGCATAGATGAAGGGGCCCACGGAATGCTGGAAATACCGCTAAGAGAACAAATTTGAGCCCCAAAAGAACAGATGAAAGCTCTTCCCAGATCATACTTAATACAATGAGTTATACACATCTGTAACAAATTATGATGTATTTGAGATCTGAATTGAGGTTAGTGGAATTAATTAAAGTCTCTACTTTTTAAATTTTTTTAGGTTATGAATATTTTCATGCTCTAATGCTCATGATGGGAATTGGCACTAAGTGTTAATTTCACAAACTAGAAGCCTTTTTGCTATAAGTTTGTATAGTATACCCAGTTGCCATCCACGCGGGTTCAAATCCCCTAAGAAATACTCTTCCTTCCTTGCTCTAAAAGCAAAGTGAAGAAAGCTGTGAGGGGGAGTTGTGACCAGGAAAAAAAAAAAACTTCAATGTTTTTAATTATATTGGTTTTCGTTTGGTACAAAATTATTCAATTTTTTAATATTGAATTGAGTTTGAAGATATATCTTTTTCATTTATTAGCTATTTTTTTACCTATATTTTTTTGGGCATTTAAAAAAAAAAAAAAAACTTTAATGAATCTTATTGGTTCAAAAAGTGCCTTTTTGAATGTTTTAGTCTCGAGAAATATGATATTAATGTATTATTGCTCACCACGAACTGGTCATAGATCAGCGTGCCAAACCTGATAGTCAACACTAAAGTAAAAGATGGCATCCATCTTATTCAAAGTGGAACAAGATAGTAACTATTTTGTCTTTCCTTTTTTGGGTCATATTTTACTTTTACTTTTTTTTTTTTGTATTTTTTGTGTTTGATTTTATTTTTGTGTAAGTTGGAATTAAAAGCATGGTTATTTTTTTCCTTAGTGCTTGGATATTTTTTGTTATTACTTTCCATGACTAAATAGTGTAGACTTTGGATGTTAAGATCTTATATGAGTAAATTTGTCCTTGTAATAAGCTGATATATCTCTATAATTCACGAACTTACTCTTATAATCTAGACCAAGGTAGGATATAACTCAGGTCATTGAACTCAACTGCAGTGCATAACTCGAGTCACGGTACTAGAGTTTTGACCTAATCATTATCATATGATCCTATCTTCTGGAGGCCTATATAGGCACTATAAGGTTGGAGATCAAGCTAACCAGAACTTAGGGCAAAAAGAAACAGAATTAAGATATAAGGGCTACCACATTGGATACCTTTGGAATTTACTCGACCTATTTCAGAGGCATCAAACATCCATGTGAAGTACATCAAGGAGACCAAAGACAGTCTAGTAGCTTGTATAGACGTAATGAAAGGCAGGATTGAAGCTCAATTGGTAAGAAAGTCCAATGTTAGGGATTCACGATTACATTAGATACTTTAAGGATTGTTGTGTGGCCACAACTTTGATCTCTAGATTCCAAAATACTAAGAGATAGTAAGAAGATAAAAAAAATAAAGCTAGATATGCATTACAAGCCGGCTGACGACATTTAGTGCTGATGGGGAGAGTTGCATTGATGCAATACCTAGTGGGCAGATTTTTGCAACATGGAATCAGGAATTTGAGAGTCGAATGTTGCGATTGAACTCAAACTACAGATTCAACTTGAACTCTGGTTCATTGCAGGCCCTACATGGATTCTAAGAGTCACTAATTGAGTGCGCTAGATATTGATGATAAATCATGAACTCTCAGTGTTGGTAGAGGATCCTAGAGGCAAATAGATGAAATTCGATGATTGCGAATGGAGGACAAGATGCGTGAGCTAAGAAATCTGACCTTGAGTAATTGGGATTGAGAAATCCCATTTTTACATCATTTTGTTTTTGAGATAAATCTAGATGATCCTTGATATGCCAGGAGAGTCAATATAATACCTAGTCTCTAAGTTAATTTCACTTCTGACCAAGCAAGTTAATCTGGTTAGTTGAGCACTGTATAAATTAGGATTAAATGATTACCAAAATTTGTTCACTTGCTCAAATAGGTATAGACATGTGTTAAGAAGTCTGCATGATCTGTCATTAGGGAAATGTAGACCAATACATCCTGCTGGTGAGATAGAATTAAAAAGAAGAGGCTAGATCAGGGCAAGTAATCTTCTACCCATCAATAGTTAATTGATGTTCGATCATTTCAGTTGCTGGAGAAAGTAAGTATGGATCTGGTCGAGATTTTAATATAGCAAAGGATCTAAGGCAGTTTCAACCCCCAATTCTTACTCCCTAGCAAGAGGACCAGCAAACTCTAGTTGGCATCAAGCTTCACAACATGTTGGAATCTAATCTTCCTCTACTCTAGTGCTTAGCTCACTGTTTTGTCCTTGCTTGAAGGAACAAAAATCTACACTTCATAATGATCTGATCTGGTTGGGCCACTAGCTAGATAACTCAACTTGCAGCCTATCCAGAGCTTCTGCGAAGTGTCTGATTTCAAGCATTGGTTAGCAAAATCGAACTTTGGATTCTTAGAAAATACTTAAGTTAGACTTTAGGGAGGAGAAAGGATTGCATGCCATGTCCTTTCATTGCAAATCTAAAACCTTGAAGCTACTTTGTGTGATGAGCCAAGTCTTGGCTTAAAATCCCTAGCTGATTAGCTTTGTATTGGAAAAGTCACACTCCTAATTTGTTTTAAGTATACTTTTGATGAGATTGTGGTTCTACTTATGTGTTATGCTTTGGTGTATGTTGATTGTCTAGTTCTAAGTGCTACTAGGCTTGATCGTAGAAACATGAAGATGCTACAGATTTTTGGTTGCCTTGGTAGATCTAAGTTGAGATGATTGAGCGAGAGATGCACGTGCTAGTTGCAAAATAGAAGGATATAGCACCAATAGCATCCCTCTAAAACATAGAAATCTCAGGTTCAGCATTCAGACCTTGGGTTTGGTTCTACAACAATCCTAACCTGCTTCCCAAGACGTGACACTTGTTTTATGCTATATTATGAAATATCTATGTATAAACTATATCTTACAAAATTAACAAGATGAAGTAAACAGAAAACTGCTGAATAGTTATCAATAAAAAACATGTGATGTTGTTATAATTCCAGATTGGGACAATACATATGTTTTCATATACATGTATACATATGTATTGTCAATTGGTATAGTAAAAATCTGCAATGGATAGGATTTTTAATCCTCAATGATTGTAAATCTAGTGTTGATTATTCATATCTAAAGTGAGTCCGAAACATACATGGATGAGTACTTCAAGCTATATGTTTTGGAGATGCATCCAATTACACCGAATCAAATTCTAGCTAATTAATCAGTGCAAATCAGGTGTGACAGCATAATCTTATCATTCCTGCTTTATCAACATAAGAATGTAAGCTAATCTACTTGACTCCGAAGCTATGTCCAATTTCGTTTATTGTATTCCTACATATATGCCATTTTGTCATATATGTAGGATTTCAATACTTTAAGAAAATTCAATGTAATATTTTTTGTAATTTATGAAACTTATGAATACGAGACGTGGATCGATGCGTCTTGACTTGCTGGGGAGCGGAAGCAAAATTCATCCACTTTTGAGTAGAAACATCCGGATCTTGTGCAGATTGACCTTGCCAGGAAGACCTTGTGCAGATTGACCTTGACACCCTCGTTCATGAGAGGAAACCGGAGTGGCTACCAAGTGCTAGCTTTCTCAAGTGTCGTTATAGAAGTCATCTTCTTCCTGCTACTGAACATTTAAGCACCGATTGGAACCGCTAACGCATCCAGATTAGCGTTCAATGGCAGGGTTTTGGAGC